TTTTCTCCATTCCTTCAATTAAGGAAGCAGGAAAATAGCGCAATAAGGCACGGAAAGCCGCCTAGGCTTCGGAATAAATCATTACCGTGAATTCGCAAAGAGGCGCGATCGTGGGCAAACGAGATTTGACGCCAACAACGAAATTCGCCATCGACTCGCGCACGTTCGCTTGCCCGTTTCAACAACACGATCCGACGTATTAGCAACGGCTCTTAACGACAGCCTCTCATCGGTCTCATCCGTTCGCTCTATCTATCTCTCTCTCTCTCTCTCTCTCTCTCTCTCTCTTTCTCTCTCTCTCTCTCTATCTGTGCATCCACCACTTCTTATCGTCGGAGGCAGTATCCGTTTTTTTTTTCCTCGCTTGCCGGCGGCGACGTCTTGCATTACTCCATTACTCTAACGTTGCTTTTCAAAGAAAACGACAAGCGCAGGCTGCTGCTCCACCACGGATTAGCCGGCACCAGTCCTACTTTTTACGCCGTGGCTTATAATTAGCGCGAGCCACGCGCGCCGCTGCAGTATGACTCGCAAGTAATCGTCGTTTAAACAGCCGCTCGAAACTATTCCACGAACATGAGCGAGCGAGCGAGCGAGCGAGCAAAGAGGATGATACCGGGAAAGTGGGGCTGGCTAGCCCCTGCGGAATTTATATGTATCGCGTGTGGAGGAGCCGCGGTTTCCGTTGCTTAATTAGCCCTTGCGCTCGTAGCCGAAAAGTACAAATGGGTCGCGAGACTGTCGAGGCCCCTTGGCCCAATGGGCGGATGTACGCGTTACCGCATGATCCGATAAATTAATTAACCGCGGAGCGCGAGATATATTGATTTGCGCTCCCGAGAGCCGGGATTAAGGATACACTGGGGTGAGGAGGGGAAGAAGCGCCGAGGCCGCCCGGTATTTAATTTATTTCGACGCTTTATCATAGGCAGTGTGGTAGCTTTAAATAATTACGAGCGAAGTCTCTAAATGGCACTTTGGGTATTAGAAGTAAATTCAAGTGCATTGAGCGCGTCCAGTCTCGATTCGTTATTATGCAAAATGTCGCCGTTCATCTGGTAATTTATTGGGCTTATGCTGATAAAGGGAATAAATATCCATTGTATATATGAAAGCGTAAGAGTCGAGTATTAATAATCAATTTTCATAGGACTACGATAGAGGGTAGTGGTAATTAATATAAGTTTTCAACCGTTTAGATCGGTTACGCGAATAATGAAATATATTGTTGTTATGTAAAGTAATATCTTATCAATATTGCCCGACTTGTCCTTATAAAGTAATAAATCACAAGCGCGCGCGCGCGCATATACACAAATGAGAGAGAGAGAGAGAGAGAGAGAGAGAGAGAACAATTTTAAAAATATTTACTTCCGTAAACTTTTATAGGGGCGATAATTTCGAGATATATATATATATAGTTTAACAAGACGATATACGATGTTTTATACGAGATGGAGGTAGTGGGCGGGTATAGGTGGAGGCGTTGGATGATGGTAGCGGTGGCGGTAGCGGCGGTGGTGGGGGAGGGGTATACGTGGTAGCTTTAGAAGCTGGATAATTTACGTGGGGAAATGAAATGGCAGCATTGTCAGTATCTGATTGGAATGGCAACTTATTCGAATTGGCTTTTCCTTCGCGCTCGAAGCTCGTCTCGCGCAGAGAAACGCGCACTTTTCCGCACAACTTTATTTACAATTGGCATTTTTATCGTGGGGTCGGTGTACGCGCTAACGCACAGCCAAGTATTATCGTCTTATTTACATTTTATAGGCCGCATTATAACCGAGGTATAAATCTAAATCCCACTATCTTGGCCTTAATCGCAATCTTTATAATCGTCGAAGAGAGGTCTGTATAAAAACCATAAATTACCGGCGGGCAATATTTATACACAATATTTGCTCGGGCTAATGTGGCAAAAAGCCGTTTGTCCGCATATTAACACAATGCCGAGGGCCGCTGAAAAATCACGGCGAACAATGGGCATTCGCGCGGGCAGAGCTCGACGCTCCTATTCGATTGGCGAAACAAGCGTGAGTGGCCGTGGCGCGTGCGTGAGTGCGTGCGTGCGTGCGTGCGTGAGTACGAGCTCGCGCGCCAACGAAAACCTCAGGAACGCCGAATAAAATCAATTGGTACTCGGTTTCGATAGAGAGCGCACACGAGCGCGCTGAGCAAAGATCCGAGCATATCGCCGCTCGCGCGCGACTCCTTACTCGCCTTCTCTTTCCCCTGCCCCCTGTCTCACTCACTCTCTCACCCTCTCTCTCACTCTCTCTCTCTCTCTCTCTCTCTCTCTCTCTCTCTCGTTAAAAATCCACCTCCCGGCGACTCGCTCGTTAATTCCGTTTGAATCGCGACCGCGCGCAAACTCCGACGGCGACGAGAAACTCCCACGTGCGCGCGCGCCTTATCTTATCGCTTCGATTAATAAACGAAGCGCGCTGGCGGGAAATCGGCCGGGCGCGAGCGAGCGCGTGTGCGAGTCGTGAGATAAGGGAGCGGGCGACAGGACAGGACGGGGACGTTGTCTTCCGAGGCAGTAAATGTTTCCAGGTTGGCCGCGGGTCAAGGCGGCCGAGGACGTGCCGGAGCTCCTCGGCCCGTTCCGCAAAATCGCGCTCGCCCCGATAAGAGGAGCGGATAAGTCGCCCGATGTAATCGAGCTATTGGCCGAAGTCGAAGGTGTTGTTCGACACGGGCTGGCTTGCGATTTTAGAGTCGCTCGCTCGTTAATAAGAGGCGTCGTCGAGTGCGACGTTAAGGTGGCAAGAGTGCCCCGTTGCATTTCGGGATGGAAGATATTATCGGGCATCGGCATTTTCAATGCCTAGCAGATGTTGAGGACTGCGGGACCAAACGATGACCAGCCAACTGCGAATACGGGATCCTCGTATTTTTTCCGTCTATCCTGTGAATCGTTATTTCTACTGATGCTGCGCGTTCCCATTGAAAAATACGAATTCATAAAGTGAGTGATCGTAAGTGTTTTTGTTGTCGTTATGGTTATTGTTAGAGGCCATGACGTTGCCAATGACAGCAACAACTTCGACGCGTCTAGCGGCTGCTACGCTGGTGCAAAAGTCATGACGTTTTACCTCGTCGAGTGACATTTTCTTGCGATTGGCGACATCCCTGAGATTCTCGGAAGCGACATTAGGGATTTGCGTATTATTTTACACGAGACGATTGCGGGCCCAGGAGTGAATTTACAAACACCGAGTTTATTTAGAGGCTTAATATGCGAAATCTATTTGCGCTTTGCGTGCCTTTGCATTTCCCAATTCTTAAACTCATTTGAGAAACTATGTATTGTAGTTACGCTAACAAATTAATTTCAAGCCCGATCTCTCGCAAACGTCAGAAATTGTTCGAATTGAGAAATAATACCAACAACGCACGTCGCACGTAAACACATGCATAGACATATGTAATAATCGTGATAATAAATTTATCTTCAACACGCAGCTTCTCACATAATTCTAATTTCTTTTGACATATCTTGGAGAAGTTTGCAAAACAACTTTTCACGATTCCCTTTTTATCTCCTCTTGCAAAACCTATTATGCATAAGCTGCAAAATATTATTGAGGATTTAAAAGCTAAGGCAGTAAATAACGGCTCTTTCTTCTTAATAAAGAGCGTATCGATATAAAGTTTGAGACACGGGGGGTGGGGGGTGGGGGTGGGGGAAGAAGTCGACGGCAAAAGACAAGGATATATATGTGTGTGTGCGCGTGTGTGTGCGTGCGTGCGTGCGTGCGTGCGTGTGTGTGTGTGTGTGCGTGTGTGCGCGCGCGCGCGTGTGTGTATGTATATATGTATATGTATATATATTTAAGCGAAATAAATTGATGCCTCGAAAAGATCTGGAAAAGAAATTAATAAATAAATCAATTCTCGTTTAAAGACAGAGTCCGAGCTTACAATTTACAGACATGCGAGCGCATGTCGGCCTACGCTACACCTCGTTCATGCGGCCGTTGTCGCTCTCCTTGCGCTCCTTTTTTCATATCGAATCAAAAGTGGCCGGATGGCCGAGGCCAATCGCTTCTAAATTATGATTAGAAGATACAGAAGCGCGCATTTGGTGTGTCGACGAGGGACGCCGACCGGCCACTCCCCGAGCGCATTAACGATCCATCGCCGACCATCCATCGAGCGATCGTGCAATTGCGCGCGCGCGCGCGCACTAACGTAGACTCTGGCGAAGTAAATAAAAGGTTCGTGCTTTAATTGCATAATCGACGTTAATTAAACGGCTTTTGCGCCGATTGGCGTCGCGGCTCCTATGGTGCGATCGCGTGACCGAAGCCATAATCTCAGTCTCGAGCCTAAGGATGCCCATTCGTGGCTCGAGGCATACGCGAAGATGATTCGCGGCGTTGACGCCCGAGTGCCCGTTCGTTTACACGAACTTATCAGTCCCCTAGACGAGGACGGACCCGGCTACCGGTATTCGCACCTCCACGTCCGCCGGCTATTTTGTTGTTTTTTATTTTTCACCTCTTTTTTAATAAAGTTTTTTTTTATAAAATATCGGCAATTTTGCATTGGCGAAGCGCGAGCGGCCGAGCGCATCTATCGCGACTCAACTCCACGTAACGTCATTTTCCCTCAGCCTTACATTTCTGTAGAATTTAATTGCTTGGCCAAGGCACTCCGTACGAACTTGCCTCGCGAACTCATTACGAAAATTCATAAACTTATCGTGATCGAATGGCAACGAGTAGATAATCGCCGATGCACGTATACGCGCTAGTGTGCATGTTGTATGTAGGAATATGTTGTTTATACGAGGGCCGTAGATATAGAAAATTTGCCGCGGCTAAATGATTGGCCAGTGTATGTGGCAAAGGTCGAAGAGAGCAGGATTCCGCTCGAGCGTTTAGCAGTTTTGTGCAGCGATAGGTAGGTGAACAACGCGATTTCCCATTAACTCCCTCGGATCGCGCACAAGCGTTACCCATAAATACTAATTCCTCGCACTCTTTTCCACTATCCCTATTCTTGATCGCGAGTTTCCCAGCGACTCGCGCGCCGCCAATGCACAACGCGTAGACGAGCAGCGGCGTGGCGAGAGCCGAGTGGCGTGGGGCGAGTGGCGTGCGGCGGGAGGCTATCGCATAATTGGGCCCGCTCGCGAGTAGGTACCGTAAAGCCGCAGCGTGCCCGAATCGCGAATATAGGTAGGTGCGTACCGCTGGAACCGCTATGTCGATTATTCTTCGCCCGTCGGCTCCACTCGTCCATCGTCCGGACTAATTGCGACTAATGGTTAGACGAGATCGGCGCCCAAGTGGAGAGAAATCGCGTTAGCGCGGAGCATCCGTCCGAGGGATTCGAGCCTCGGCAATGTGCCTTACATGCCGGGTTATGATTAATTGCTCAGCGACGGGCGACAAGTCCGAGCTACAACGCTGACATTTGCCACGAGCAGGTTCGCTTAAACGGAACCACATGGTTTTCACCAACCACGGACGCTCCTGCGACCGAACCAGCCAAACCGTCGTAATAAACTACCTTGCTCGAGCTCTCCATGTTGCCTCCGATGGCTTTTGCTTTCGTCGTCGCGACTGTTCACTTTGGAAATTCGGCTGATTTTTTTTGATTCGTCGAAATTATTTGTTCTCTAGTCTCACATTGACTTTCGATGTACCACGAATGAAACTAAAGATAAGGTGACAAAACTTCACGATCCAAGCGCATCAAGCATCCCAGCTCGTATTTGTTCTCTCATTCGTCTATTTGATTAGCCGACTAAGGTGGCTTTTGAGAATCGTCTGTCGCGTGAGGCGCCGCGATATCAAAAATAACTAAGTAAGAGAGAGAGAGAGAGAGAGAGAGAGAGAGAGTCGATTTCGTTAAGAGCCATTGTGCGTGAATGTGTTGCCTTGACATCGACCGAGACGGCCGAGCAAACATAAATAAATACTTTGTAAGAGCGTGAATAAAGATTTTCATACATTAAACGCCTACAAATCATTTTAATGCCTACACGCCTCATCTTTTGGTTCGTATAAAAAAAGAAAAAAAAGAAAATGAAAAAAGAAAAAAGAAACAAAACAAAAAAGGAAAAGAAAGAAGAGAAAACGAAACGAAAAGAATGGAAAAAAGTTTTATCCGACGTTTGTTTTGTTCCAACGAGGTTGCTGACCAGATAAACTACGTAACATACAAATGACAAAATAACAGGATGTTCGCTTTGACCCAACATTCGCTATTGTAATACGCAGTTGCTCACAACAACTGACTTTAGCGATTAGCTGCTGATTTACAAATGTAATGTCTCAACTGGCCATATCTAAAGTACACTGCTCTATTACCTGGAATTTTATAAACAAATTGTATATATTAGTATAAATATTAGCTGATCGTTACTCTTAGTGTTTACTAATTACGGACTGTTGGGTGACGAGAATATTTACTTTTAGCGAATAATTACTTTAAACCAAAAAGATCCATTAGAATAATGCAATTAGAAGAGTAATACATTGACGAAAATAGCGAGAGATCTCATTTGATAGTAACGAACATATGTTAGGGAAAAAAAAAAAAATCGTTTTTTCATTGGAACATCGCATCGGACGAAATATCTTATAAAATGGGCTGAAATTCAAGGAAATACGAAACAAGAGACAAAGAAACAAGTCCAATATTCGTTCAAACATGTTTTTCGTTTTTTTTCTTCTGTTTTTCTTTTATTTTTATTTTAAATAGTATCGAATGTATTCTGAAAATATTCCAAGCGATCCTGTAAACATTATTATTGAATAAAAACTAACGATAATGAGAGCCTATAAATTAAGAGTGAAAGATATTGTTCTTCCATTTCCATCTTCTTTTCTTCGAAAAATCTATAGATTATTCAGAGCATATAATGCAGATGCCCTTGAACAACTCTAGTCCCAACTACATTACGTATGTATAAATTTATTTTCAGCTAAATCAAGTATACATTATTGATTCGATGAGCTATACATGAACTTTTCATTTAGGATACTATTTTATAATAATGAACATTTGCCGAATTTTCTTTTTTTTTTTTATTTATATATATATATATATATATATTTATGATAAGTAGCAACGATTTAAAATATTATTATGTTTATTAATTCGTAAAAACATAATGAGAAATATGGCATTATGCTTTAATCGTGTTTGAAATGTTTATTCCAGGCTTTTCAATTTTTCCATACTTAACTATTTATCATACTGCACATAAACGCATTTCTTTTTTATTTTTATTTTTGAGTTACAGCCTATCATAGCCCGAGTTCTACGTACCAATAAATGATTTATTATATTCTCTCTTATATAATTTAATGCATTGTTTTAATAAGTGATATATCCAAGTAGCATATAGAATTGTTTCTTTAGAATCATTTCTTTTTTTTTTCTTTTTTTTTTTTTCTTCTTTCATTTTTTTATTTCACATTACAACTACTATCTGTTATTACCCAATTTATTGGTTGGTAAATATATTATTCAAACCAAGATAATAGTAAATAAATGGAAAATAAAAATGTAGCTTTAAATTTCATTTGTTTGAAATCTTTTATCTTAAACTGACTAACCGTGCGTCGCAGTCAACCGCAAATCTTACTCCAATTTCATAATAAATGATAGTTTTGTGGTCAAGTCGTATAAGTGTAGTTATTCGTATATACTTCGCTATTTTTTTTCTGATATAATATCATTTATATCTAAGATTTGAAACATAAAAAATAAAAACTCAATATTGTCTGACGATTTCAGATGATAGAATAGCGTAATACCCATAAAATATATAGAGTAGAGGGAAAAATATAATATCAAACTTTCAAATCATAATACGTGTCAAATAGGAACATTCTTTTGCGACGTTGTTATAGATAGATTATACATAAACACACACGCGCGCGCACGCACGCACGCACATATACATACATATGTATATATATATATATATATATATATATATGTGTGTGTGTGTATGCATGCATGGGTATATACGTATAAGACTCCGATTACATAATTCAATTTACTTTATAATTTGCATATCGAAGACTAAGCCAACCGATACAAATATTGATAGATAAAAAAGTTGGGCAGTTCTTTTACAAGAATTCTATTGTAAAATCTATTGTACATTCAGGTAAATTCTAATCATTGTCTAAGGCCGTTAGAATTTACAAAAGTAATTGGCATTCTTTAAAATGTAAAATATGATATCAGATGATTATAAGTAATGACAGATTTATTGTACCAGAGCAATTTTTTGGTGATGAATAGTTTTTTGCTCAAACATTAAAGTTTCGTTAGTTGTATAATATGAAACATTGTTTTGTCGATTTGAGCTTAAGTTTGCGATAATTCAGATACAAAAATTCAGATACAAAAATTCAGATACATCGATAATCGAATTTCCAACTTTAATATATTTAGCACCGTTGCCCTTCGATTATAGAATTTATAAGGATCTTATAGAATGATTATTTTAACTCAATTATATCTAAGCAGATTCGAAGCTAGTAAATTGATTGATCGTAATGTAGTATTACATAGTAATCATAGCAGGAAGTATTAAATATCATTTTCAACGAATAAAATATGCATAATTAGATAACAGCTGGTAATTGGGTTATCCATCACACGAGCAAAATAAAAAGCTCTCAATATTCAAAGCTAGAAGACTTGGAAAAACTGATACATTTGTATGATATAAAGGAAACTTTGTCTTTCTCGACATAGCTACAGCATTATAAAGTATGTTTGATGTTTGAAACTCTTTATTTATAAAGTTTACTTACTTATTTACACGGACTTTTCATACACGGATAATTGATGTTGCTGCTTTATATTCAAAAGCCTAAGAAATATAGTAGTCAAACTATTTAATGTTTCAAATAAGCTTTTTCATTCATTTCTATTTTTTTCTTCCTTACAGTAAATGACGAAAGTCTTGAGTTTGAAAGGATAAAAATAAAAATGGTGCCCATGAATATGTATGGATTTTGTAATAATCATCGTCACGCTCCACACACAATATTTTTCATCCAATTACCTGGCAAAGTCATTAAGCCTGGATCGCGTTCTTATCTAATAATTTGTCAAATGTCGATCGCTTATTGGCCACGATCACAAAAACTTTCTAATGAACATGTAATAAAGGTAAAAAGGAAGACGTGAGCAAATATTGCAAAGTACGATTATTTATTGTATTTGAACACGCATGCATTTATTTTATGATTTATCGCCCCGCTTGTCTCTTAGAATGCAATAAATTACGGGTCTGCGTCTAGATACTTAAACACTATAAAGCCCCTCTACATATCTTTTGATTAATAAAAATCTTAATAAAGAGGTAGTATCCATTTAATTTAAAAATATATATTTTCATTGCATTTCGATATGGAAGACAAAAGATATGGAACGAGGTACGCGTAGTTGGAGAGCTACGGAACAACGTGAGATGACAGTGATAATGTCAAGGAATAAGTACGAAGGGAAAAATATTCATCGCGATTCATCGCGACCCTTGAAGAAAGAGAAATTCATCGTAGTCTATGCGCGGAGGACAGAGAGAGACAGAGAGAGACACAGAGAGACACAGAGAGAGAGAGAGAGAGAGAGGGGGGGGGATTAAACATGATGCGCTAGAGTGAAAAGGAGGCTATACTTCTCTTCTGAAATGAAAACTGCCTATCGTGAAAGACAGAGGGAAAAGGATGTGGAGTTCCATACAATACGAATTATCGTTGTTGTTTCTATTGCTGGTGCTGCCACTGCTGTTGTTGTTGCCTAGTATTGCAGGTCGTCGTGACTACAATGCGCTGGACCGCGTGAAAAAGGAATGGACTGGCGATAGGTAGAGAGGACTCAGACTATTCCCGACGTAACTTTCTCCTCACGGCAGCAACTCAGCGAAACTCGGCTAATGCCGAGTCATAATCTGTTGTGTAGTGCCACTTTTCTCTCTCTCTCTCTCTCTCTCTCTCTCTCTCGCTCTCAGGCTCGCTCTCTCTCTCAGGCTCGCTCGCTTACTCACTCTCTATTCGCTTTTTTTTTCGCCTCCCTCCTGGCCTCTCCACTACTTTCCTACACAATATTTTCAATTCTCATTGTCGTGCTCACGGTTCATTATCTAGACGAAAAAGAGGCGGGGGGGGGGGGAGGGAGAGTGTCCCGATGCTGGGATGTTTTCTTAACCTGAGCGACCATCTTAGGAATGAAACGCACCCGCGTCGCTCTGCCGCTCCGAAATCAGGGCTTTTCTTCCTCTCGAGCTCCAACCGAAGCTTCTTCAGTTTCAAAAACCCTAACGGTTTCGACCATTTGTCTATTCATACCCACGTGATATACCTCTTGACCCTATTGTGCCTTTATCATTCGCTCGGTTGTAGCCATCGGCACATTTCGAGAGCCTCTACGTTACGGATAATTGACGTTGCTGCGTCTTGGAATATTCCGTACGAATATCGGCCACACTATGCTTTTACAATTTGACATATTTAGATATCAATAATGCTTTTAATACAAAGTACTTGCCTCTATAT